TCTGAGCGAGGAGATCACGTAGCTCCGTTGCCATGATGGAGTGAAACAGCGTTGGTAGCTAGAAGGCTGCAAAGCATAAAGCAAGCAAAGTGAAACACGAAAACTACATAGGCGAAACGTCAAGCAGCTTTTTGCGAAAGGAATGTGTCTAGTCGGAGCGTACCCCAGAAGATCTGAAGAAGCTGGAGCTTGATGGCATAGAGCTCGAAGTTGGCATAGTGCGGCGTCAGCTTCACGGGCTGGGAATGCCAGTGTTTTGGCAAGATGTTTATGCGAGCCAAGGGAACTGACCATGCTAGAAGACGCGGAAGCCGGATGCAAGAACTGGTCAAGGCGGAGCTGAGGTAGACGCGGAAAGGGGTAGTAGTGGCAAGTGGTGCTGCAAGCATGGTGGGCCGGTTGTCCACGTAGCGACAGGAGAACCACAAGTGTTGGTGGTTGTGGGGCATCTCTGCATACGTGTGGTGCCAGGATTCTTCCACTGCGGCGACGGCAAGCAAACACATGGCCGTCATGAACGGGTGTGCGGCGTCGCCGGCCACGGAAGAGGCGGTGTTGCTGAGTCTCTGCCACGTTGACGGAGAACCATGGGGAGTGACCTTGGTTGTTGGTGTGAAGAAACCCTCTAGCTCCTAGTTGTGGAGGAGAAAGTGCGAAGTATCAGGATGTTGCTTGAAGAAATGTTGGATCAATTTTAGCAACTGCCACACGTCGCGGCGCTGTAGGGATCGTGGGAAGGCGACAGGTACGAGTTGGTGAATGAGGAACGCAATGGCGATGAACAATTTTCTGGCAAAGCTTTGGGCGAAGGAAATGATTGGCCGACCGGTGAAGCCATTTTTCCGCTTGGGGAGAATGTATACCGTTGGTACTTTGCCGTAGTCTCTGGTTGCCCAGTTGTACCTTGGCATTGTGCGGCGGAAGTTGTGGACTGCAGTCTGCGATTTCCTTGAAGACGTAGTACCAGAGAGGTCCAGCGCCACCGGCGCCCTGAACAGTGACTACTTTCCTCAGTGAGGAGCCGGGCAGGTGATTCTTGTACGGTACACACTTTGGAATATAGGAGCATCACAGAAGTCATACGTCAGGTACGTCACTGAGCGTCCCCAGTGATATCAGCACGCATCCGGTGTCTTCGTTGGTGCAAGACCGGATGGGCTGCTTGCACCCCCTGATGTAAAAAAATGAAGAAGTGGCGGTGAGGCCTTCCATCCAGGAACTAGGATGATCCACACGCACACACACACACAGGACCAAGAGTGCAGATAAGCATGATCAAACCATACCATAAATGCACACTTGCATGCACAAGTGCACACACAAGCAAACAAAACCGAGCATGCATGTGAACGTGAATCCGGATGTATGCACATGTGGGCGTTGCCAAGCATGTGTGTAAGAATGATGAAACTTGCATGCATATATGCAATGATGGTTGCACAAACAAATAAACATGATTCAACAAAAACAACAAACTATAAATGACCCAGGTGTAAACATGATGTGAAGTGTGAAGTGTGCGGCAAAACCAAGGCTGCGCGGCATGTCTCCGCGCACTCTTGGACCAACATGATGCCATATGTTGCATGTAGCAGATTTTGCGCAGGGCCGGCTTGCATTCTGTTTGCGATGGGTGAACTTCATCCCCGAGTGACAGACTGCCATCCGCCTGAAGGAATTGGAGGTGGCCACTTCCAATGCTTCCTGCGGCTACTTTACGGCAAGTTTGAGATGGAACAACATGATCCTCCATGTGAACTGTTGAATGGGGTGAATTGAATAGCTTGTATCTTTTGGTTGACGTTGCAAGGGGAGCCAAAGTTTAAGAAAAATTAGCAGTTAAGTGGGGGGATTTCAACCACTAAACCACCACAAGCAAAAATGCAAAATGTTTCCCAACAACAACCGTGGTATGCGTCTTATCACCTATCCTTACACCAGCATCACCTTCTTTTTGGAGTCCAGGAACTGCGTGCAACATCAAATCTAGGTCCTCCAGTAGAGAGGTCAGAATAAGGGCACCCTTTTTTTCTGTAGTCTATTTTCTTAAGGGAACCCTCCCCCAAAAAGGGGAGAGAAGGGCACTGCTGGGGGACCTAGAAATGATCGAAGAACGCAACCCACCGAACGGGACAAATTGCGTCATGCGCCTGCATCGCCGGCGGCACGGCAGGCATACCAGGCAACCGCCGTAAGCACACGCCTGGAGACGGAAGCTTCTCAACACAAAGCTGTCAGTGCCACTCCTGGGCGTCAAAAAGCAGGCTATCGGAAGCAAAAAGGACAAAAATACCAACAGAGAACACGGAGTCCAAAATCGTTTGGTTTCCTGTTGTCCTGTTGGGTGAAGGACAAAATGTTGGGTTCTATAGGCCCTAGACTCGCAAAACAGTTCACCTGAAAAGTTTGCAGAAAGGGGTGGCTTCCACGAAAGGACGCAGATGTGTGTAGCATCCTACCCCAACCCATGACAACCTATTTAGCCCCCTAGGCCACCCAAAGAAGCTGGGAATGTAGCAGTGCAGTTTCCTCTACCTTGGCCATGCGAAAAAACAATGCTAGCCTTGGGGTACATGGCATAGAAAGAACACTTCCGTCATGGATCGAACATGGCTTGTTCTCGGTGTCTTCCAGTCACTGCTCCCTCCCCCTCTCTCTCCCTCCCCCTTTCTACAAACCGTCCCGCGTCGGGCAGCTCGGCGCGCCAACTCTCGCAACCAGGCCGCAGGAAATTGAATCGACATGGGCAACCACAAGGTGGTGAGTTTCAACAACCCAAGCACATGGCCATGGGTCAAAATCCCGGTTAGCCCCCAGTGAACATCCCAATCCCCACTAAAATAGACTAAAATGGGTGGTGCACCTACCCCAAAATGGGATCCCATTGGTTTTGACACACAGCCACATCTGCTCAGTTGCATCAAGTTGCCCAGTGACTGAGGAGGTATGTGCTGAGCAGCTGGGCCTCTTGACAAGTATACTTATCACGCATGATGGCTTTGGAAGCGAAACCAAGTGAGCAGCACCCCAAACCCAATGAATGTTGGTTCCACTAACACGGAAAGACAGCTTTGATTGGGTCACACAACCACGATTTAAGCTAAGCGTTTCGAAGAACTGGGTGCTAAAAATGGCCAGCTGGGTTTTGGGCGTTCAACTAACTCATCATGTGAAGCGACTCCCAACTCTGAAGCACACTTGGCAACCCCCAAACAGGATAAGAGCGCAATGAAGCAACTAAAAAAACAACAAGAAACAAAAACAGGAGGGAGCCAGCTCGGACGCCAACCATCCAAAACTCCCATTGTTGCCGTGTTGTTGCAGCTCGCGCTTCAGTGGGAGATTTCCAGGGTACTGCAAAAAGGTATGACTCGTCTTTTGGGATTTGTCATTCTTGGCAGGCGTCTCTTTGGGGGCTGGCAAGGGCGCACCAGCAGGAAAGCAGCAATTTTCGGATTGACCTATGGTGTGGCATCCGGACGGTGCCGCACGTGTAGAACATCGCTGTGACGTGCAGGCCTGAACTTCCGCATGCTTCCACATGGCAGCAGCCAGGGTCAAGCCGCTGATTGCAGCACGTTTAGGGCTGGCCTGCTGTTGTAACAACTACCAACCAGGGGGAGAACACATAGAATCCTCGAGAAGCGCATCGAGCAAGCTTTCTAGGAAGTGTAACCTTGTGTTGAGTCAAGCCACAAGGAGCGATTCGGACCTGCCATCAGGTCAGTGTGAAGGATTGCGCAAGGGCTCTGCGTTTTGCCCCCATGTTGCATTGACGTACTGGCTTGCAATACTGAACACCTCCCAATTAGGCGAAGCTTCGGCTCAGCTGCCGTCAAGCTGTGTGGTTCTTGACACCTGTGCCAGCTATGGCGAAGGGAGCTTGGGCCAGAGAAAGCCGAGTTCGGAGAAAAGCAAAAGCCATCCCAACTGTTTGAATGTGAAAGGAACCCACACGTGGATGATGCAAATCCAGCAGGACCTGAACATGGTGTAAAAAAACACATGGCAAGTGCACAAAGACGGTCCTCGGGAGCCCTAAATACCATGCTCAGCATCTGGCTGGAAGGCGTGCCTTCTCGGCGCTTGAAACTAGATCTACAGATCGCATCCGTCCATACGGGGATCCTGGGAGCCACTGAAAGGATGAGTTGGTGGTGGTAAAATCAGAGGAAACCGGACAAAAGGTGTCAGCTGTCTGAGCAGACAGCCCGCAGGCTGAGGGATGCCATGTGTAGGCGCCCCTGCCTAGAGAAGCAAAGGAAAGGATTGTGAATCTTTCAGTTGACTCCTCCATTCATCTCCTTGGTGCACCGTTTTACTTTCGACTCCTGCGATCCAAAATCCAAACACCCACCAAGTCACCAAGCTGGTCCGTTTGTCACCCGTACGGCAAGTTCGGCATGCTACGCAAAGCTATCCTTCAGCGTTTGCCAGGCGTCGCCAACATGTTTTTTGTTCTCCCAAGAGTTGCCCCAAATGGTTGGTTTCCTTTTGGCTTCTTCTTTCTTACCAACCAAAAGCTGGCCCAGTTGGAGAAACACTCAAATTTTAGGTCTTCCCCTGATCGTCCCGTTCCTCTCCCTGTGGCCCGCACGCATGGAAGACCGCGAACTCGTTCACGAACTCCCCCGCCAGGTCGATCAGGTCGTGCGCGCCTCAAACAAAATCAAAGGATGGCCATGGAATCCTTGGGGTCTTAAGTTTCTTGGGATCAACCCACGTTTGCGAACCCTACGGGGGTCCCTATCAGAGCACAATTGTAAGAGTGATGAAGGGTTACCTTCTCAAAAAAAGACTGAAGACCATTTTTTGTGACAGGTAGTAAAGGCTTGGCTTCCCCCATCATGCTGAGTGAGACTTGATTTGCACGAGGCGGAAGAAGCGATAGTCAAGGTGACTGCTTGCATGAGGAAATTAAGACTCATCAGTCTTGTACCTCTGATCTGGCACCTCTTGCCAAGGCAACGACTTTGCAGGCCCATGATCTGCGAATGCACCTGCCACGATTCTTCGGCCCATTCGGTCGCCTTACGCACATCGGCACCGCTAACAATTCCCTCCCCATCTGCCCTCTGCACCTCTTTTCGCGCGCGCACCGCGCCACGCGCGGTAAACGCGGGTCCTGGAAACGCGCGTGAAGTCCGGCGTTGCGGAGCGCACAATGGGTTTCAAATAGTCTCTGCCCTTCTCTTGCAGGTTCTCAGCAGCGAATGAGGGAACGACCAAGAAAATTTATTCACCACAAAACATGGCGTTATAAAATCCAGGAACTCAGGAGGTGAGTGAGGGAATCCCCTAAGCTTGGTTGACGTTGGAAGGGGAGCAAATCAAATCTCAGCAGTTAAGTGGGGATTTCCGACTAAACCACAGGAGTCAATATCCCAACAACAAGTATGTAGGCCGGTTCATTCCCAACACCCGGACTCGTCACTGCTGAGCACCGGCAAGAATTCTCGGCTGTGCGAAGCTAAGCGTCCCGAGTTCAGGCAGCGACCGTGGCCATGGCGGCCAAGGCTTCCTCCAGCGCTTGTCTCACTGCAGCCTAGGCGAAGCCCGGAAAGAGGAAAGGACCAACACCCCATTCCCAGCGCAAGACTCGACTCGTTCCAAAGGCAAGATCCAAGAGAAGAGCCACAAAGACTAGCCTGTGCAAGGTGAAACACCCCATTTGAGGGGGGCGGGCGGGGTGGGGTCGGAGAACACTCCTTCTTTCTTTCTTTCTTTCTTTCTTTCTTTCTTTCTTTCTTTCTTTAGTTTGGGGGTGGGCGGGCCGGAGGGGTCGGACACCCACGTGGCACCAATCGACTCTTCACATTTAAAGTGCTTTCAAGTTCTAAATTGCCTAAGGCAAGGCCCAGTGGCTTCCCTCTGGTGTCGCTTTCAAAACCGGAGAACAAAAAAAGAAAAAACGCCCAGGCGGCCTCCCCAGCGGACAACCTGGAACCACCTCCCCTTTTGACCACCTCCCCAGAGCTTTGGGCAAATATCCCCAAGCTTTTAAGCTGGGGAAGAAGAGTCCAAAGTCAAAGACACACATTTCAACCACTAAACCGCAATAAGCAATCATGTAAAATGTTTCCCAACAACAACCATGACCCACCCGCAACGCCTAAAAAACGGATGACGACTCTACACGAATTGGGCTGTGGACGTCCAGTCAAAGAAGCCTGAAATGCAAGCAACTACGAACATGGCCTGCAAGCCGCCGGTCTTCAAGGAATGTTTGGGAGAACATCGGCTTTGAGGCCACTTTGCATAAGCCCCCTGGAAAAAGCGAAAAAATGTGTCCGACAGATCCCCCTTAAAACCAACAAGAGACATATCCACATATTCGTAAGCAAATGGAAGCCGCCAGCTTTTGAAGATTGTGTTTTTTTGGAAAAAAAGGAAATGCTGTAACCAACCCGCCAGCTTGCAAGGAAAAACCTTCCCGACAGTTGCGAACTCCTGGTTCCCGCCTCGTCGGGCTTGTCCAAAGTCTTCACCTTGTCGTAGGCTTTGGCGCCCATCTGTAGGGCCGCCTGGATCGGCCGATCGGCCAACAACCCCTGGATTTTCCTACGGGTTGATTCCCTTTGAATGTGGTTTCCCTTTGAAAGAACCAAGGCAAACTAGGTTCCAGGGCTTGGTTCCTTTTCCATTCTTTTCAACCATCGTTCTTTCCAAAATTCTGCCGTTTTCAACCTGGGTTCCCGGAGGTTTTCTAGAAAGAAGGATCCCTGGAAAGAATGGGGAAGGTACCCCTAGATGTTTGGGCTGCGGATGGTTGCGGGCGAAGTCCTGTAGAGATTCCACGGTGAATGAAGCCACGGTTGACCCAAAAAACACACACATAACACTATTGTTCGTATTACAAGGGGGGATCGCCATTCCAAGGTTTCTGATCGGTGGTGCGAAGTGGATTTCGCAAGCATACGCAGGATCATTGCTTCATGTTGATTTTACAGTACCCCGCAACCCCAGTCCAATTTGGGAAAACACGCGCCTGTTTGTCACACACTCATGTCTAACCGATGTGCTGCGCAAACAAAAAAAAACACCCTTGTTTTGCCAATGCGCATTTTCCCGTGAAACGAGTCAGAGTGAAACGAATCAGAGTTGCAAATGGAAGCTTTCCACCCGGCGGGTTAAAACAAAGTCGGGCATGGCCCCTTGCGAAAATTGGATGGCTTGGGGAATCAAAGTCCACCAGCCGGGGGCTACATGTTCCCCCCCCCCCCTACTTGCCCCACCCAGCCGCGAGCACGTAGCAAGGCGAATGACCCCATACCTCCTCCCAACACCCGAGACCAACAAAAAAAACAAACCAAAAAAAAACGCTTTCTCTCTCTCTCTCTGTCTGGCGTTGGGCAAGGCATACTGGCCTGCAGGCCGCCATCTTGACAGTGGCCCAAAACAAGCACGTCTAGGTCATTTCTTTTTAGCTGGAAGCTATGGGGCAGCTTTAGAAAAGCTTGGTTGATCTTGGAAGGGGAGCAAACAAAAATGAATATTTAAGCAGTTTAGCGGTTGGATTCCCACCACTAAACCACAATAAGCAAACATGTAAACTGTTCCCGACAACAACCATGAAAGGTTCCACCGGGAATGCCGTGCATTTGGGGGAACGAAACTAGTTGGCAACGCATGCCCCAGCGAAGACACATGGCAGTTGCTCAAAGAAATGTACCAAAATGGCACCTTGGGAAATGGAACCAAAGACTAAGATTTGCGTAACCCCAGCTCTTGAATTTTGAGCCACACCCACATGTACAGTCACTTCTTCTACAACATGAACAGTGGTCGAGTGCTCGATTGTTTGCGATCGGGGGCTAGGCCTGCATGACTCAAACACAAGCAGCAAACAGCAAACATGCGCTTCCCAGCTTTCTGCGCTTCTTTGTTCTTCGGGTTTCTTTGAACCAAAATCAGAACCGGTACTGTCGAAAGGAGGGCACTCTTAAATCATCCTTTCGGTTGGTTTTAGGGGCATTTCTTTAGATAAGACCAGCCGAACAAAAAGCCCAGGCTTTGTCGGTGGTCTGGTTCTGCTTGTATTCTACGTTAGGCCATGTTCCCTCACAAAGCTCCTAAAGGCATCATCCTGGCTGAAGGCATCACGAAAACAACACGAGGGCCGAGTTTGTCTTTTTCCCCCGAATCGGTGAGCTCCTGCCGATTTGCTGATTTGCTCGGAACCGCAGCCCCTCAAACCCATGGGCGCAGGTGTTTGGATAGAGATGTGCTAAAATTGATGCTGGTCGTTGTTGACCCCGCTGCAAGTCCCAAGGTCCAGCCACATCCCCATAAAGAAATGGGGGGGGGGATGGGGGGGGCGGGGTAAGCTTCAAAAAATGCGCAACCATGGACGCCTTCCGCCCCTCCTCCCATCCGAAGCAAAAAACATCGCTTCCGCCTGGCGCATGCCGATGATGACCGGATCGTCCAGAACCAGCTCGAAGCGATGGGGGGAGCGGATGTGGTTCAGGGTCTGTTCTCGGCCCTCCAGCAACCTCAGCATGCAGAGGTGAGAGAGATAAACTGTGGATGGTTGCGAAATCCTGCACCACCTAAGAAACCCTCGAATGACGATTGGCCTGTAGATACCGACAAACACTGGTTTCCCATGGTATCAAACAAAGTAGTGCAGGAGTTCGCAACCATCCACAGTATCTCGCTGGCCAATAGCTAAATCAAGGGCTTCGGGAGTGAACCCACACGGTTCTTTAAAAGGAAGCCGCCAGGGATGGGTTTTATGGGGGTCTCCCTCAGGCCTCCCGCTATGGCACGTGAATGCACGCCCTCCTCCCAAAAAGAAAGAACCGAATTACACCCAAGAAAAACGTTCGCCACATTTGTCCAGTCGTTTCGATCTGTGTTCGGCTCATGCCTCAAGCGAACAACAAACCTCACAAAAAGATAACGGGGGGCCCACATCGGACTGTGAAGGCTGAAGGCTGGAAGGGGCAGGGACTGATTCCAACAACCCAAAACTCAAAACCCCATATCTTGGTTGACGTTGGAAGGGGAGAAAAAATGTCAAGTTTAGCAAGTTGTAGCAGTTAAGTGTGGATTTCAACCGCTGAACCACAATAAGAAAAAATGTAACATGTTTCCCAACAACAACCATGGTGTCAAAGACTGATTGCATGTATAAGCCGTGTAGTCCTGGCATATTTGCAACCTCTAGGTTGTGGGTGCTTAACACTTGCTCATTTGCTACTTGTGGGTGTGAGTTCTAGTTGAGGGCACCATTGGGTGGGGGGGGGGGGGGTCTTAAAGAAAAGTCATGGCGTCACCCCCCTATGTCCCATTTGCGCAACCGATGTGCATCTCATTTGTAAACCACAGATGAGCCTAGAGGTAAAAACATACTGGCTACCACCCTTAAAAAGTGATAATCAAACCCAGAAATCCATGGGGTCAATACCCAGTGGGTGTACTCCCAGGGTGTGATAGAAAACCCTTAGGGCTGAAGGGCAACTGGGTCCACGAAGTGGTTCCAGCAGGACGCGGGGTTTCCCATTTGAGCGAGCAGCCACTTAACAAGACGAACAGGGCTTTGGGCTTGAGGCATTTCTAACCATACACCCTGTTGTCAACTCTTCCTTGCAGACATGTTCCGCAACTTGGATGGGCAACGGTAGGTCTTCGGAACTTTCAGCCTCCGGGGACCCCTGGGCTCCGCGCACGTTGGTGCCGCCGGCGGCCATCTTGGAGAGCGCCTGCTGGACAAAGTTCACCACCTGAAGGCCGCGGATTCCTTGGTTGACCTTGGAAGGGGAGCAATTGTTGTTCAACTTTAGCAGTTATCTGGGCTGCCCCATCTTTTCCCTGCAAAGCCAGCCATATGATCAAGCAAGGAAAGTTTCAAGTTTCAAGAAAAATCAGTCAAACTGTCATACAGTTTGCCCTAATTATGTGGTGCTTCCAAACCAAAAGAAGCACATGCTGAAGCCCTGAGATCCCAAGCTAAAAGTGACTAAGTGGGGTTAAATGCAAATCTTCACTAACCACT